ATTTAACTTATAGAAATTATTTCAAATGGCAGCCAAATTAGGGGGACTAATGATTAAGGGTATACAAGACTTTATTTAGGATCATATACGCTATAGAAGACAACAAATATTTTAATGGTTCCCAATTGGGATATCTAATCTCAATTTTTAATATATTTGATATATAAATACTTAAAATTTATTCTAGAAGTATGAGTTTAGTACGGTTACCTTTATTCCAACAATTTTTCGTTGGTTTCGAATTTATTATTGCGATATTTTTATTAACATTTTGCCGAATACTTTATTGGGCAAATCTCACAAGTTTTTTTTTTTTGTTGATGTAGGAGGAAAACCTTATGTTTTTCACCTGGATTTTAAATTGCACTTATTTTTTGCCTAAAAGAAAAAGAACTATTTTTATTGTGCAAATGTCTTCAGTACATTTCAAAAATGATTCATTTGAAGTTTTTCCATTTTCAGCAACATATTCTGCAGTATATGGATTTTCGAAATACTTTCCACACATGCAGTCCAAACAGAATTCAGTGTAGTATTTATTTTTACTACTTTAAACACTGCGTTATATTTTGTAATGCACACAAAGAAAACTACAGGGGTATAATGTCAAAATAGTTACACATTTTCTCACCCACACCACGAGCAGAGAGCGGACGTAGCACTGACACGTCCGATGCCGGGGGTAAACTGGGTCAGCATGACTCATACAACAGCAAAAATGGCATCAGGTGCATGGGAATTTGGACATAGTCCCGCACATTCCTCTGATTGCCACATCTGTCTCATTAAGCTTAATGAGATTGAGTGTGTATGTCAACACAGCTGTGTAAAGAGAGACAATCAATTGATTGTCCAATTGCGTGCTTTTAATAAGTGTTGAGATCATGCAATTATTACTTGTGTTTCCTACGTGTTTGTAATGGCTGTTGTTGTTATTGTTTCTACGTGTTTGCAATGGTTGTTAACATTAGGTTGTTGACATATTTAATGTGCAATGATTGCTCTCCGCAGTGTACTTAAAACAGTGTTAGCTAAGTTATTGTTAACATAGTTTACACACCGTATTTTCTTGATAGTTGTTAAGATACGGTCAGATCATCTGATGCTAGATAAGTCATAAGTTTTATTAGCTAATTGGATGACGAAGGTTAAATAGCACTTGAGATTACCGTGAAGCGAGAAAACTCATATTTCTACTAACTATCTGCACCGTATAATCGGGAGTAATATTTTCTTAATGAAGGATTGTTCAACGCAGCAGCTAAGAAAATACTTTTTTCAAGTGCCAGGTCAAAAGATTCTGTAAACAAATTCAAAGATGGCATCAAAAATGATTTTAAAAAATTGTCGACTTTGATTTGTTGAATTTAAAGGTAAATTTAAGGGTGAATTGTCGACTTAAAAAATATTTTAAAGTCGGCAATTCGCCCTCTCCATTCCATGGCGTTAGAGAACAGGAAATTGCAATTAAAAAATTGATGATATAGATAGGCTACGTAAAAAACTAGGCTACGGGACACGATACTTGGGAACCACTCAGCGCCCTTTAGTAAAGGTCTGCCTTGCCGTTGATGAAGTCAAACGAACGCAAAATGACAGTCGAAGTGGACCCTGAAAACTTTATTATTAAATATGATGAATGATTGCCGATTTGTATTCCCTTAATATTTAAAACATACGAGAGTTTCTTGTATTATAAAATACGAATTTATGCAGCTATAAATGTAGCTGTTTGGTGTCTGACATCCGAGACTCGTGCACTGCGTGACACTGTGCAGAATTTGAAGGGTGGATGATGCACTAGGTTTCATTGAGAAAATTTATGAGCAATTTTTCACCGCGCGTCGCTTATTATCGCTTATTATGAGAAAGTGTGGATGATATTGCACATGTCAAGCACAGCAGCAGATGTCGACGAAGAGAAAGGAAACTGATGTGATTGGCTACTGCCTGCCGCTTTGGAGAATAATTTTACAATCTTACACTGCCGCGATTTTACACTGCCTCGACTTTACACTGCCATAATTTTAGACAGCTGTGTGTNTAATAGCCCTCTCTGCCCTGAGTACGGCTACTCATCGCGGCTCAACTCATACCTTGCCCGCATTGGTGCAGCTAATAGCCCTCTCTGCCCTGAGTGCGGCGCAATAGACCACACCACTCATCACCTCTTCAGCTGCCCTTCGCATCCCACCTCGCTGACCCCTCTGGACCTCTGGTCTAACCCTGGACCGACTGCGGCCTTCCTCTCCTCGCTCCCATCCTTCTCCGACATCCTTGGAGTGGAACCCCCGCTCCCTCCCCCTCCCCCGGAACTGCCGCCTCTGCGGGGGCGCCGCCGAGCAGCGGTCCCGGGCAACTAACAACAACATTCAACTATCTTTACGTCTATTTTTATGACTTGAATAATTTCTGTTAATCTCTGATAACTGTCCAGGGTCGAAGTCACTTGGATACTTGGTATTGGGTAGCGTTGAAATAATTTTTGGTACTTTCAAGTGTTTCGATGTAATTGACTAGTAAATTTTGAAACTATCAAGTGTTTTTAAATTTTTGATTATGGTCACTTTGATGATGAACATTTGAACAATTTCATTAATTGATTGCACGAATATGGTGGAAAAAATAATAATTATTATAATTTAAGTTCTAATATTATCAATTATTCTTCTTTGGTCTAACAACCTTATAGATGTTGGGAGCGGAGAAAGTCGAAGTACCAAAAACTATGTAAACGCTACAGTAAATAACGCCCTCCTTGCTCCTATGTATTATAGTAAGTTTCTTGTACCTGATACACCTGTAATTTCCGCCAAGGTAAATTCTGTTCAGTTGAAAGAATTCGCGTTTAGCAAAGGTGCACGGAAATATGTTTTCAGTAAATATTTGTAACCACTTATTAGAGATGCTCGTGTTCACGCAATGAAATATTCTATACCAGGGGGATTGTTCCTGAGCGCCTCGCCGTTGAGCTCGCGGTGTCTGACTGCAGGTCTCAGTTGTAGGGTTAAGTTATTATGTAATTCCTTGCATTAAGTTATTATGTAGGTAGGATTCCTTGCATTAAGTTATTATGTAGGTAGGATTCCTTGCATTAAGTTATTATGTAGGTAGGATTCCTTACATTAAGTTATTATG